ATATTCAAAAAGCAACGTCTGGGGTCCAAATAAATAGGTTTATAGCAAAACTAACCTTAGCTAAAAATAAGCAATTAAACTAGAAAGTGGATAAACATGGTCCACTAACTCAAAAATAATGCCTAACAATTAGGAAGTAATTCACCCACTAAGTATTCAACATTCCCACTAAATTTGAAGCACTACTCAACATTCCTACTAACTATTCAACATTCCCGCCAAGTTTGAAGCACTATTCAACACTCCCCCTTTCTTCAAAACTTGTTACTCCCATCTACAATCTGAAGTACTCGTGCCTGGCACGTGGCAGAGACTTGGTAAGAACATCATCTACTTGTTCATTGATCCCACAATGCTTCATTGCTATTGTTTCTTCAGCAACCAGATTTCAAATGAAATGATAGCGAATGTCAATGTGCTTTGTTTTGTTGTGGAAAGCTGGATTTTTTGCCATAATGATTGTTGCCTTGTTGTCACAGAACACTTGAGTTGCACCTTCTTGAACTTGGCAAAAATAAGCTAACAATCTCCTTAGCCAAACTACTTGACAAACTGATGTCGTTGCAACAACATATTCCGCTTTTGATGATGACAAGGCCACGATCTCTTGCTTCTTTGAACTCCATGAAATAGCACCCGAACCAAGGGAGAAAACATAGCCAGAAGTGCTTTTTCTATCATCCAAACAACCTGCCCAGTCATTGTCAGTAAAGCCCAAAAGTTTGAAATCTGATACTTTTGAGTACCAAATTCCAAAATCAACAGTTCCAGCAACATAACGAAGGATCCTCTTTGCTGCCCTGAGGTGATGCATTGTTGGGTTATGCATAAATCTAGAAACAATGTTGATTGGTAATGCTATATCAGGCCTTGTGTGAGACAAGTAGTTCAAACCACCAACCATATTTCTAAAATACCTTGCACTCGCCATTCTGATGCCATCATTAGCTACGAGTGTCTCATTCACATTCATGGGAGTTGGAGATATTTTACAGTTTAACATATTGAACATTTTCAACAAATCATTAGCATATTTTCTTTGAGAAATAAAAATCCCATCTGCACTTCGGTTCACCTCCAAACCAAGAAAATAATGCAACAAACTCAAATCTGACAATTCGAATTCTTTCATCATGTAGGACTTAAATTCCTCAACAAGAGACTCACAAGATCCCATATAAATTATGTCATCAACATAAAGACACACCACCAAAAATTTAGAGTTACCTCGCTTCTTTACATAAAGTGTTGGCTCATTTTTGCTCCTTTCAAATCCATTCTGCTGAAAGTAAGAGTCAATCTTGTTATACCAAGCTCACGGGGCTTGCTTTAGGCCATATAAAGCCTTCTTTAACTTGTAAACTTTGTTGTCATTGCCACTAATAAAACCTTTAGGTTGAGAAACATACACCTCTTCATCTAGTTCTCCATTCAAAAAGGCAGATTTAACATCAAACTGGTACACAACCCAATTTAATTATGCAACCAAGGCTAGAAAGGTTCTCATCGTTTCAAAGCGAGCAACCAGAGAAAATGTTTCTTCAAAGTCAACACCTTGCTGCTGAGAATACCCTTTTGCCAGCAACTGAGCTTTGTGTTTTTGTATAGTACCGTCAGCATGATACTTTGTTCTGTGCACCCACTTGAGCCCAATAACATTCTTGCCTTCCGGTAGATTAATCAATTCCCAAGTTTCATTTCTTTCAATAGCCGTCATCTCTTCTTTCATTGCATCCTACCAAACTTGACTTTCTGTAGCTTCATCATAACAAATGGGGTCAGAAACATACAAAGCAAAGCTACATGAAGCATAAATATCCCTCAATGATCGGAATTTTCTTGGAGATGTTTCACTACAAGAACTTGAAGATGAGGATTGCAAGTTTGCCGGAACTGGAGGGAGATGAGTGAATGGTTGAACTGCTACTATCAGCATATGGACTACCTAGTTCTGGAGGTTCTGTCATAGGGGTTATACTAGCATCTTCTGTAACTTGAGGTGTTGTAGGTGTTGCATTGTCATTGTTCCAGGCTCAAGTTTCTTCTTCGTTGAACTTAACATCCCTGCTTATGATTACTTTGCCACTCACAGGGTTATACAACTTATATGCTTTGGATTAAGGGCTATAGCCAACAAAAATGCATTTTTTGATTTTTCATCAAGTTTGTTACGAGTTGGAGAAGTAACGAAGACATAGACTATACAACCAAAAATTTTTAAGTGGCTTACCTACGGCTTCCTGCCCTTCCAAGTTTCATATGGGGTCCGGTTCATGACAACCTTTGTAGGTGAGATATTGAGAAGGTATACTGTTGTTGCCACTGTTTCTGCCCAGAACTGATTAGGAACACCACTTGTTTTC